GTGAAATCCTCAGAGACTCTCCCCGCCCCCTTACTGTGTATCGCTCACTGATTGGACGATGCAGTGCATGCACTGATCTGATGCTTCTTGACATGAGAGCAGAGTTTCCCAGCGGAGTGAAGAAAACACATGAAACTCACGGGACTCACTCCTCAGTTTATACTGTGTTTTTTTTTGTTTCAATTAATGCATCATTCAGTTACAAATATGTGATATATCTGAACAACAAAGTGGTCAAAAATTATTTTATTCATTTATTGGAAACATTTTCATGATCGCTTTTTCGTTTTACATTTTCATTAATTGTCATTTCCATTCAGTCAGTCATTAAGTGCTATTTAACGTGTTAATTTGCTACATATCCACACAAACAAAGTGTGCAATCCAATGAATGTTAATCTAACTGGGTTTTGATAGATAACATATCCAGTGGCGGCCAGCCCATAGGGGCGCTAGGGGCGCCGCCCCCCCTCTTCCCACATTAAAAAGAAAAAGAAATAAAAAAATATATTTTTTACTTTTATTTTTATTTTTAATAAACAAGGTAAATATTATATAATTGGTATCAGTAAAATGTATAATCTACAATAAAATCTCGTTTAAAATTGTGTTACGATGTCTAAAGTTACTGATAAATCACATGTTTCCTGCCTGGCCTTGCCCGTGTATCTCTCGTCTGGGCGCTATGGACAGCGCCCAGACGAGAGTGCAGCAAGTGCAGCAGAAGCCAACTGTTGCTATCTTTAAACTATGCCGCCAAAACATAATTTCAGCCAATCAGCGTCGTCAAATCTGATGGTCACAGGGCTCCTACGTCAGCGCCCGGTGAGTTGTTTGGACTCGTATCCAAGGAGACAAAACAGGAAGCTGTCATACACTCTGGAAGCTACCATTAGCAGCTAATGAAAACTCTGTTTTTGACATAAAAATGGAATTATGGATCATCAATCATTTTTCAAAGTGACAGACACATTGGATTAACCTATGGATTAACCTTCAGCTGCGTTTTTCTCGTTTTTGATCAGAATTGTTATTCTGCAAAAGGTGAGCATATCTCCGTGTTTTGCTACCTAAAGCTACGTCGTGTGATGTCTGTATTTGCTTCCCCTGTCGCGAGTTCTGATCGCTCAGTGATGATACTTATATTTCTAGTAAGTATCGTTTCTTTAGCTCAGGGCTCATTTAGACGCTTCTTGTGAGACTTGTGTTTTGTTTCGGTAAACATGGTTCATATCATCAGTTAGCTGCGTTTCCTCTGAGTAGGACACATGAATAGTTTATTACATTTTAAGAAGCCCTGAGATACAGTTTCGTGAGAAAAAAAACGGGGGAAAAAAGCCCCTTAACAGGTTAAATGGGAATTAAATCATTTTAAGTAATTTTGAGTGTTCCCAAAGCCCCGGTGTTCTGCAGTTTGTGTGGGCCTACTGTGCTGTTGCACAGTTTATGCTGTAGAAACTATGTCCAGGACAAGGTGTTTGGAAGTTTTGGAAGATTCACAGCTAACCACACTGAAGTTATGGAGGTATTGATTAGTCTTCTCATATTTTTAAGCCTCAAATTGTCCTTCCCCCCCCCCCCCCCTCTAACATCACCAGAAGTCATAATTTAGGGGGTCTTTTCTCAAAAATGTTTAGCATCCCCCCGGACCCCCCTAGTATTGTTTGATCACCATTTCCACAGCCCCACCTAAAATATTTTCCACCAGCCGCCACTGAACATATCTCTTTTTCTTCTCTGAATTATTTTATTTCTATTGTGCACTCTAATCAATATTAATCCAACTATTGTTCGTTTATACATTTTAAGAATGGCGTTTATTTTTTTTGAGAATGAGTTCTTATTTTATTTAATGTATTTGGGTCTACAACAGATGATACAAATGTTTGTGTCAGTAAATGTGTACTAACAGAGGCGGGGGTGTTTGTGTAAATAACGGGGACAGAGCTGGCTGCTGTCAGACGATTAGCTGTGCGGAGTCATCACAAACGGACGTCGCTTCACGTGACGCTCCGGAGGAAAGGACGTCCCATTGCTCTTAAAACTCATTTCCCTGCTTCTCGTGGTTTCCTTGTGTCTCTCTATGCTTCCCTGGTGGGAGGGACTAAACGCAGGGAAACGACGCAAGTGAGGGACGCAAGGATTTCATTTAACCGAAGTGAGATGCAGCCCAGGAAACAAGCAAGCGGACATGTTTTTTTCCAGTGTTGAGCCCTTTTTCAATTCTAATTTTCTCCTCCCCGACTCCTCACCTCAATGCGGAGGAGTCGAGGAGGAGAACCGAGTAGAGAGGAGTGGAAGCAGCAGGCGTTTTAGGCCCAATTAATTCCAAACCAAACCCTACTAACCCACTCCGACTCAGTGGCGGGTGACACGTAGCTGAATGAGGCTCCCTCCTTTCAGAGGGAGGGAGTAAATACAGCAGCAAGCTTTGGGACTAACTCCCCTCTCTCCGGCAGAAACAAGAAATTAATAAACTATAGGTAACAACTGTTTCAAATAAGCGTCTCTTGGTAAAAAAATTCAAATGAATAACTAAAATAAAACTCAACAAATCTTTAATTGTGTTCCTTTATTGTAAACCTCTCTTAGTTTTAAACCTGGTGTTTATAAGCTTCTTAGTTTTTGCAACAGTCCCTGTAAATATACACAACTTTATAATAAAATGCACACATTTACCTTTTTCTAAGTAAAAAAAATATGAGGTTACCGTGAAGTTGTTCACATCTGTATGACGATATTAAATGTCTATCTTGTTTGGCAGTTTACAGTAAATGTTTGCACGGAACTATTTGTAAACAGCGTGTTTCATGACGGACACACACAGCGTTGAGTCCGGTCAGGTAGTGCAGCAGGTGAAGTCAGGACCAATGCAGACTCTCTGTTGGAGGGCTTGATAACCCACTACCCCTCAACACTTGTTGGTTTGGAATGACACTTGATGTGGCGGACCCTCCGCGCTAGTGTGTAGGGGAAGGGGGCGGTTTGGAATTGGGCCTCTGAGCTGTAATTTTAAAACGACCTCCATTAATGATGACAGGAGGCACAGCAGCACTCTGGCTGATGGACAGAACTGTGTTCATGTCAATTTATATATTTACTTTTACAGTTTTTTTCTATTGCTAAAACAAAAATGTTTTGACAAGAGGGCTCATTTTGTCAAAACACTTAAAGATCACCTATTATGCAAAATCCACTTTTTCATGTCTTTTATACATCAACATGCTCTGTGGAAAGAGATTCTGAAGTTTCAGGAAATAATATTCGCTCACTTTTTGTCCTGATCCATTTATATAAAAACCTGTCTGAAAATGAGCTTTTGGCCACTTTATGATGTCATAACGTTTTTTTGGCTTGTGTAACCATTAGCCAATAACCAACCAAAGAAATTGGTACAACATTCATGCAGACCAAATAGTAACAGTTGTGTAAACAAAAATGATGCCTCAAACACAGTAAATGTAGAGAAACACTTTTTTTTTTAAACAAAATCAATGCGACTGATTTCGATGGAGCAGGTCACTTTGCATTAGGTAAAATAAAGCAGGCAGACATAACAGGAAGAATATGTACATTTTAACCCAATCAAATAGGACATTGTCACACCATTCAAATGTATCCATGTAAATTACAACCAATAAAAAAGCTTAGATTTGTTTATTCGTTACGTTGTTTACTTTATTTGTCACGTTGTTCTGTGTGTGTCAGCCGTTAACCTAGATAGAAAAAATATATACACTTGCAAACACGTCAGAAGAACCAGCGCAGAAGAAAACGATACAGTCAATCTAAACTTAAATTAACAACTGGAAGGTCACATCCCTGACATCCACGTCTCCGGAGCCTGGACCTTCATCAATCACAGAACCAGCGAAGCCAGATAAACCCAAAAGCAGCAGCTCTGCGGCCGCAGAGACGTCGTTGTTGAATCGAAACAGGCTGGTTCCGACTGGATGGAGGTTTGTTGTCGGGACATTGAGACGGGTAAAGCTGCAGCTAACTGACCGCTAGATTATTTGGGCAAAGAGAAAGGTACTTCAACGCAGAATGGTACAAAAACAGAGAGTGGTTAATTCTTTGCAAAACCACTAAACGGGCCTTCTGTGAAATATGCAGATTTGCTGCTGTCAAACGGCTTGTAACTTTCTCAAAATGTGGAGATGATAGCTTTGTTAATATCGGAGTTAATAACTGGAAAAAGTGCCCAAGCCTCCTGGACAGCCACGAAAAGTCTCATTTCCACAGAGAGTGTATTAAAAAAAAGTGCGCTTTCTTCAGTCAAACACCAGTCAACATACAGCTTGTCAAACAACAGCGTATTGAGCAGGAAAAAAGAAGTGATGGCGCAACTGCGCAATTTCCAAAAGAACTCGTAGCTGAGAAAAACCCCACTCTGAAGAGCTTCATGCTCACCGGGAAATATGCATCATGAGACAATTAATGAACTTATAAATCTAATGTATCGGGAGTCTCTCACCACTATATTAACTGAAATTTAAAAGCAATGCAAAACATGCAGTTATTGTGCTTCCAGCAAACATCCACTGATAAACTGCGATGTTAACAACCTCATGATAACCTCATATGTTTTTAACTTAGGATCTACCATGTGTTTAGTCTAGAAAAAGGTAAATGTGTGCATTTTATTATAAAGTTGTGTATATTTACAGACTGTTGCAAAAACTAAGAAACTTATAAACATCAGGTTTAAAACTAAAAGAGCTTTACAAAAAAGTAACACAATTAGAGATGTTTGGAGTTTTATTTTAGTTATTAATTTACATTTTTTGTCAAAGAGATGCTGATTTGATACCGTTGATACAGTTACGGCATTTCCTGTTTCTGCCGGAGAGAGGGGAGTTTGTCCCAAAGCTTGCCGCTGTATCTACTCCCTCCATCTGACAGGAGGGAGCCTCATGTGTCACTCCACGGAGTTCACTCCGTCACGGAGGGGGAGTGTGTAGGGGTAGGGTGTAGGGCGTGGTTCGGGATTGGGCCATACACACACACTTTTTTGGCCCCCCCACTTCTAAAATGAATCCGGCGCGCCTGCCTGGACCTCATGTGTTCCTGCTGGTTCTACAGCCTGAAGACTTCACTGAGGAACACAAACAGAGACTCTGCACAGTCCTGGAACGCTTCAGTGATCAGTCATTTAATCATTCACTGCTGCTCATAACACCACCCAGAGAGGAGGGTTCAGGTTTAATGGAACAATACATGGGACAACCCCCATTACAAGACATGATCAGAAAATGTAGATACAGATACTTGAAGCGGGAGAACCTTCAACATCCAGAGCTGTTAACACGCTTGGGTCAAACTGCAAAGGAGAACAATGGAGAGTATGTGAGCTGTGATGTGTTCGAGGACACCAGGTCTTCCTTACCGGTTGATCATCAAAGTCAAAAACCAAAGAAAACAGGGATTCATCTCATAGAAGCTGTTCAAGCTGCTGGTAGGTGAAGGACAATGAAAACTCTGTTATTCAAATCATACATGATTAAATTAGAACATTAAGCTGCAAAATAATGATGTCCTCTTTTACAGGTGTTGAACCAACCACTTCACCATTGTTACTCCGAGGGTTGACCACTGTGACTAATTGTAAGTAAATGTATTTTTAAATAAATACTCTCATAATTTCAGTGTATTGGTATCATCTTTTCTCCAGTATTAACCGAAACGCATCCCACAACTGGATAAATGCACTAAATCCATTTCAACCAATGTAACTCTCCCAAAATAAGGAAATTGTTTTTCTACTTTCATATCATCTATAGTTGGTAGTTACAGTGATATATTAAAAATTCCATAACAATGTTGAGGAAAACAATATTTATATTCACTGTCAAGAAAATAAAAACAGAAAAAGGTCATTTATAAAATCAAGATAAAATCAGTGTTTCTGTTTCGTACCGTGTTTTATTTAACGTTTTCATTAATGGTTAATCTACAAAATTACTGGAGAATATTTCGTGTAAGCACAGTGTAATGATTTCAGTCTTTATGAGTTAATGTTATTTAATTTTTCTTCTGTTATATTACAGCATCTGCATTCAGGATTGTGCTATTGGGAAAAGGTAAGGACAAAAAAAATAGAATCAGTTCCTTAATCACAGAGGGCAAAGGTGTTCTTTTACAAAAGATCACAAACTCTGTGACAACCAATGGAGAGTGCAGGGAAAACAGTTGAAAGTAGTGAAAACTAAAGAAATGTTCCATCTACCAGAAGAGTTAGTGAGAAGAGAGGTGAAGAGCGTTGTGAGTCTTTGTTCTGTTAGTTATTCTTGAACCCCAAGAGCAGGAGAGACTGAAAAGAGTCAAGGCAAGCTTATACAAGTTAACAGCATTTAATTACACAAAAGATGCGGTGGTTTACAAAAGTTATGTGCTCGTTGGTGGTTTGCTCCTCCCAGCTGTTTTGGTCCCGTCCGTCCGGGTCAGCTGCGGGCAAGGAGCGAGGGGGATCCTTTTTGGGTCTCCCGGGTAAGACCTGTAGTCTTCTCCTATTGGCCGGCGTCGATGGGGGCGTGTCCAATGCAAATCCTGTCGGCTTCTGCTACTAAATTACATCACTCTGATGTCTGTGGTCATCTAAACATTCCCTAATAAACCTCATTCCAGCGTCAATAAATGAGTGTTAAACTCAGGGTATTTTAGTGTACAACATCACGTTATTTCACCTTCAATTCACGGTTTGAAAACGTAGCATTTCGCCACAAGCTAATGCTAACCGGAAATGACGAAATTCACCAGCGGAAAAACCGGAAGTCACATGTGAATCTTCGGTTTTCAGAATAAAACAGATTTAAATGAAATAGTGTATTTCATTCAAATTACGCCACATCAACATTGATTTTAATTTCTAACAATCCCTCCTTTCACACCTTTTAAGGTGTGAACACAATACTGGAATCAATGAGTTCTTCATAAGACTGCTTTTAAACTGACTGTATGTTTTAGACTAAATTATGCCATAAAACATTGATTTTAATTTCTAACAGTTCTCCTGGACCCAATGTCCTGCTGCTGATGGTGAAGCCTTCTGATTTCACTGAAGAGAACAGACAAACACTGAAGTTCATCCTGAGTCTGTTTGGTCCAGAAGCTTTTAAACACTCAATGGTCATCATAACCCACAATGAGCTGCTTGAACACTGTGGAGAAAGACTCTACAACATGGTTGACAACAACCGTGACTCATTGATGGATAAGATTAAGAAGATAGTTCATGAAAACAAAGAAACGTTTCTCACCTTCACTGAAGACATCAAACCAGCTTTAAACCTGGTTCTGTGTGGGAGGAGAGGAGCAGGGAAGACTTCAGCAGCCAAGGCCATTTTAGGTCAGACAGAGTTTCCTTCAGTCTCCAACTCCTCAGAGTGTGTTAAACATCAGGGAGAGGTGTGTGGACGCCGGGTTTCCCTGGTGGAGCTGCCTGCTTTGTGTGGAAAACCTCAGGAGGAAGTGATGGAGGAATCAATCAGGTGTATCTCCCTCTGTGATCCTGAGGGCGTCCATGCATTCATCCTGGTCCTACCTGTGGGTCCCCTCACTGATGAAGACAAGGGAGAGTTAGAGACCATCCAGAACACATTCAGCCCTCAAGTCAACGACTTCACCTTGATTCTGTTCACTGTGGAGTCAGATCCTCCAGCTCCAGCTGTTGTTAACTTGTTTAAAAAGAACAAGGACATCCAGGAGCTCCATCAGAGATGTGGAGGAAGACATGTTGTTCTCAACATCAAGGGCCAGCAGCAGATCCCAGAGCTGTTGAATACTGTGGGGGAGACCAGAGTGGAAGGATCCAGGTGCTTCACAATGAAGATGTTCACCAAGGCTCAGATGACGAAGGTGGTAGAACTTAAAGCTGAACTGCAGGACGTTAAAAAGAAAAATGAGATGGAGATGTTGATGAAAGTCAGAACAGAGAGTGTCTCAGGATAGTGCTGATTGGGAAGACTGGCAGTGGGAAGAGTGCAACTGGAAACACCATTTTGGGAAGAGAACATTTTACATCGACTCCAAGCACAGAATCAGTGACCCAGATTTGCGAAAAAGCAACAGGAGAGATTGATGGTAAACCTGTTGCTGTGGTAGACACCCCCGGCTTGTTTGACACGACACTGTCCAATGAGGCTGTTCAAGAAGAGCTTGTTAAATGCATCAGCATGATGTCTCCTGGACCTCATGTGTTCTTACTGGTGCTGCAGATCGGCCGATGTACACAAGAGGAAAAAGACTCTGTGGAACTGATCAAGAAATATTTTGGCAAGAAATCTGGAGATTTCATCATCATTATTTTCACCAGAGGAGATGATCTTAAAAACATATCAATCCAGAACTACATAGAAAAGTCTGGTGGCTTTTTGAAGAAACTGATAATTGACTGTGGAGGGAGATACCAGGTCTTCAATAACAACAATGAAACAGACCGCATGCAAGTCAGAGAGCTGATGGAGAAGTCCAACAAAATGCTGAAGGAAAATGGCGGCAGCTGTTACACCTCAGAGATGTTCCAAGAAGCCGAGGCCGCCATACAGAAGGAAGTGGAGAAGATCCTGAAGGAGAAGGAAGAAGAGATGCAGAGACAGAGGGAGGAGCTGCAAAGAAAACACGAAGAGGAAATGGAAGAAATGAAGAATAGAATGGAACAGGAGAGAGCTGAAATTGAGCAGAAGAGAGCCAAACAGCTTCAAGAGATGGAGGAAAAAAGGGACAAGGAACGAGAGGAGAGAAGGATGGAAGAGGAACAGAGAATAAAAGAGGACATGGAGAAAAAAAAGCAGGATGAAATTACAAAAAAGGAATGGGAGGAAAAACTTGAAGGAGAGTTGGAGCAGAGTAAAGAAAAGATGAGAAAGCACAAAGAAGACTGGGAGAAGGAGAGAGAAGAATTGTGGGAAAAACAACGTCAAGAAAATGAAAAGAGACGACTTGAGGTGCAAACAAGAATTCAGAAGTTGCAAGAAGAATACAATCAGGAAAGAGAGAAACATGAGCAGAAAAGAAAACAAGAAATTCAGCAGGAGAGAGCCCAACAACTTAAAGAAATGGAAGAAAAAATCAACAAGGAACGAGAGGAGAGAGGCAGGGAAGAGGAACAGAGGAAAAAAGAGGACATGGAGAGGAAAAGGCAGGAAGAACTGCAACGAAAGGAATGGGAGGAGAAACTTGAAGGAGATTTGGAGCAGAGTAAAGAAGAGATGAGAAAGCAAAAAGAAGACTGGGAGAATGAGAGAGAAGAATGGTGGGAAAAACAACGTCAAGAAAATGAAAAGAGACAACTTGAGGAGCAAACAAGAATGAAAGAGTCGCAAGAAGAATACGAGCAAGAAAGAGAAAATAATGAACAAAAGATTAAGAAGGAAATTGAGAAGGAAAGAGCCAAACAACATAAATAATTTCAGTATAAAATAAACAAGGAACAAGAGGAGAGAAGAAGAGAAGAAGAACTGAGAAAAAAAGAAGCGATGGAGAAGAAAAGGCAGGAGGAAATTAAACAAAAGGAATTGGAGCAAAAACTTGAAGGAGAGTTAGAGGACAAAAAAGAAGAGATGAGAAAGCAAAAAGAAGACTGGGAGAAGGAGAGAATGGTGGGGAAAACAACGTCAAGAGAATGAAAAGAGACAACGAGACGAGCAAACAAGACTTCAGAGGTTGCAAGAAGAATACGATCAGGAAAGAGAACAACTTGAACAGAAAAGAAGAAGATCTAAAGAGAAGTGAACAGAAGGAGAAGGAGAGACAGGAATTACAGGGAAAATATAAGAAAGAACTGGAGGAGATGAAGAATACATTTGAAGAGGAGGCCAGAAAACAAGCTGAAGAATTCAACGAGTTCAAACAGAAATACACCAAGGACTTTACAGCCTTGCTGGAGAAGCACATGGAGGCAATAGAGGACCTGAAGAAAAAGCATCAAAGACAAATGGAAGAGACAGGAGAGAGCCATGGCAAAGAGTACGATCTGCTACAAGATCTTTCCAGACAAAAACAAAAAAGTCTAAAAGAACAACTACAGGACATGGAGAGAAAGCAAGAACAAGAAATAAATGAACTAAAACAAAAACACAAGTGTATCATCCTCTGACTGTTATGTTTATGCATGGGTTTTGTTGTGTGATTTCCTGTTTTGCTCCTTTTACCCCTCACTACTCTGTCTCTCCTTCTCTGCAGGGCTGGTGTGTGACAGGGGGCGTGGCTGGTATTCTCCTGGCTGCAGATGAGGCACACCTGTTCCCATTCAGATAATCACCTGCTCTTTAAGAGCCTGGCCCTCACCTCACTTCTCTGCCAGAGAATTAAATGCTGTTCAACGATCCAGAGTGCCTTTCTGCAGCCTTGAGTTTTGTTTTGTTTCTTTGCAGTTTTTGAGCTACTTTGCGAGTATAGCCTGGGACGTTTCCCTCTGCTTTGTTTTTGGACCTTTCTGCAGCCAGCCAGCTCCCTGTTTTCAGTACCTGCCTTGGCCTATTATTTATTAAACACCTTGAGCTTAACTTGTGTCTGTCTCTGCTTTGGGGTCCAAGAATCCATACGTCACAGAATTCTCTGGCCAAATGGACCCCGCAGAGAATGAGAGACTCAGGGAAGCGCTTGCTGCCCAAGGTGTAATTATAGGGCATCATGACAGAGCCCTGCAGAAGGTAATGGAAGCGATTCAGGAATTAACCTCCGGTGTGACCAACCTCGGAGGCCGTATGGATCAGGTCGCAGCACATCTCTCCACGCGCCCGCTGACTGCCAATGCTCAAGCTCCAGATCCTGCTCCTCCACCTCAAGCTGATCTGGAACGACAGCCCTGCAATCCTCGTGAGCCCTTTATCCCCACTCCCGTCAGGTATTCAGGAGATTTAGGGTCTTGTAGTCAGTTCTTGCACCAATGTAGTCTTGTGTTTGAGCAACAACCATTCACTTATTCCACTAGGGTTGCTTTTATTATGAGCCTACTGAGTGATAAAGCAGCAGCATGGGCCCTTGCCATATCTAACAGCAACTCGCCTATCAGTCAGTCTCTGCCGTCTTTTACTGCAGAGATGCGTAAGGTTTTTGATCATCCAGTGAGGGGGAAGGAGGCTGGTAAAAGACTCCTTTCACTCCACCAGGGTTCAGGCTCTGTTGCTAATTTTGCTATCGATTTCCGCATTCTTGCAGCTGAGAGCGGTTGGGATGACATGGCCTTGCTGGGAATTTTAATTTTAATGTAAGGGGCTAAATGATGATTTAAAGGATGAACTAGCTGCCAGGGATGAAACTTCCTCCTTAGAGGAGTTGATTTCTTTAGCGACACGATTAGATAACCGCCTCCGCGAGAGGCGTAGGGAGAGATCAGGAAAGCATAGCTCCACCTCCCTTCCCCCTCAGTCCAAGTTTTCTAGACAGCCAGCGTTCCCTGGACCTTCTCTTCATCCTCCAGACTCCTGGCCTTCCAGTGCTTCGCCTTCTACCAAGGCCTCTCCCTTCCGCATGGAGGAGCCCATGCAGCTGGGAAGGATGACGCTTACCCAATCAGAACGTCAACGCCGTCTTCATCAGAGACTCTGCTTCTACTGTGGCCAGGCTGGTCACTTCCGCGCCGGTTGTCCTACTCAGCCAAAAGACCTGGCTCATCAGCAACAGGGGGAGTACTGATGAGCCATACCTCTATCAACTCAGCCTCCTCTAACCGCATCCCAGTCAAAGGTACTATTTCTTGGTCTCAGGCCTCTTTTCCGCTTCAGGTCTTGATAGATTCTGGTGCGGATGACAATTTCATTGACTCTGACTTTGTGATGCAGTCTAAGCTCCCCTTTGAGCCTCTTCCTGAACCTAAAGATGTGTTTGCCTTAGACGGGAGACTCCTAGCCCAAGTCACCCCCCGTACTGCTCCAGTTTCCCTCAAGCTCTCTGGTAACCATCACGAGATTATCTCCCTGTACCTTATTCCCTCACCCATGTCGCCACTCGTTTTAGGTTTTCCGTGGTTAAAGCTCCATAACCCTCATATAGATTGGGCCAACTCATCTATCGTTAACTGGAGTATATTCTGTCACTCACATTGCTTACACTCTGCTGTACCCTCCACAGTTACTAGGGCACCAGATTCCCCCAAACCCATTGATCTCACCTCTGTACCCCCTGAATATCACAACGTCAAGGAGGTTTTCAGCAAGGACCACGCACTATCCTTGCCACCTCACCGGCCCTACGACTGTGCCATAGATTTGCTCCCTGGCTCCCCCTTTCCATCTAGTAAACTGTACAATCTCTCCAGGCCAGAAAGGGAGGCCATGGAGAGTTACATCTCTGACTCACTCGCTGCTGGGCTCATTCGCCCCTCTTCATCTCCTATGGGCGCAGGTTTCTTTTTTGTGGACAAGAAGGATAAGACCCTACGCCCTTGCATAGACTACAGAGGTCTAAATGGGATCACAGTCAAGAACAAGTACCCCCTTCCACTCATTGACTCTGCTTTTGTCCCCCTCCATGAAGCCACAATCTTCACTGAGTTGGATCTTCGCAATGCATACCACTTGGTGAGAATAAAGGAGGGGGATGAGTGGAAGACTGCATTCAATACTCCTCTGGGACATTTTGAGTATTTGGTAATGCCTTTTGGGTTAACGAATGCACCAGGTGTTTTCCAAGCTATGATTAATGATGTCTTGCGTGACATGTTAAACAGGTTTGTTTTTGTGTACCTTGATGACATCCTGATCTTCTCTCGCACTCCTCAGGAGCATGTCCAGCATGTAAGGCTGGTACTACAGAGACTTCTTGAGAACAGACTGTATGTTAAGGTTGAGAAGTGCGAGTTTCATGCCTCTTCTGTGAGTTTCCTGGGTTTTATCGTCGACAAAGGACTATTAAGGACTGACCCCGCCAAGGTCCAAGCAGTGACCGAGTGGCCCACTCCCTCTAACAGGAAGCAGTTGCAAAGGTTTCTGGGCTTTGCCAACTTTTATAGGAGGTTTATTCGGGACTATAGTAGGGTAGCAGTACCTCTGACTAAACTAACCTCTGTCAAGTTGCCTTTTGTGTAGTCTCCTGCAGCTGAGGCAGCTTTCGTAAAACTGAAATGTATGTTTTCCACTGCTCCTGTTCTCTCTCATTCTGATCCAGGGGTCCAGTTTGTGGTGGAGGTGGATGCCTCTGATTCTGGAGTGGGGGCAGTATTATCCCAGCGTTCCCCCTCAGACCAGAAGCTCCACCCTTGTGCGTTCTTCTCTCGCCGGCTGACCCCTGCTGAGAGGAACTACGACGTTGGTAATCGGGAGTTGCTGGCAGTGGTTCTGGCCCTTCAAGAATGGAGGCACTGGCTGGAGGGAGCCACCCATCCTTTTGTAGTATGGACTGACCATAAGAATTTGTCTTACCTTCGCTCTGCACGCAGGCTCAACTCGCGCCAGGCTCGGTGGGCTCTCTTCCTGGGACGGTTCAACTTTACCTTGACCTACCGGCCTGGCTCCAGGAATGTGAAGGCCGACGCCTTGTCCCGGCAGTTCGCCCCCCCAGTGGAGGATTCATCAGATGAAACAATTTTGCCATCTTCCTGTGTCGTGGGAGCTGCTAGATGGGAGATTGAAAGGGTGGTCCAGGAGGCCCAGGAGGACCATCCAGCGGCTCAGGATTGTCCACCAGACCGGCTGTTTGTTCCCCCCGATGCTAGATCTCCAGTGCTCCTGTGGGGACACGCGTCCAAAGTAGCCTGCCATCCAGGTTTTCATCGGACCCTGGCCCTACTTAAACAACGCTTCTGGTGGCCCACTATGTCCGCAGACACAAAGGAGTATGTCTCAGCCTGTTCCGTCTGTGCCCGCAGCAAAGCTTCACATCAGGCCCCCGCTGGTCTTCTTCGCCCCCTTCCCATTCCCCACCGGCCCTGGTCCCACATTGCGGTGGATTTTGTGACTGGTCTCCCACCATCAGACGGTAACGACACTATTCTGACCATCGTTGACCGTTTTTCTAAGGCTGTGCACTTTGTCCCCCTGCCTAAACTACCTTCTGCCCTTGAGACTGCCACTCTTCTCACCCAGCATGTTTTTAGGCTGCATGGTATCCCTCAGGATATTGTATCAGACAGGGGTCCGCAGTTTTCCTCCCAAGTATGGAGGGCTTTTTGCCAGGCATTGGGGGCGTCGGCCAGCTTGTCCTCTGGGTACCATCCCCAGACCAATGGCCAGACGGAGCGGGCAAATCAGGACCTGGGAGCGGCTCTTCGTTGTGTTGCCTCTCGAAACCCGGCCTGATGGTCTTTTCATCTACCGTGGGTTGAGTACGCCCACAACTCCTTGGTATGCTCTGCCACAGGTATGTCACCTTTTATGGCTTCTAACGGCTTCCAACCCCCCCTTTTTCCGGTTCAAGAGAGAGAGGTGGCGGTTCCCTCGGTGCAGGGGCATCTCCGGCGAGCCCGCAGAGTCTGGCGTGAAGCCCGGGCAGCTCTCACCCGCACCTCCGCCCGGAACCAGAGGCTGGCGGACCGTCACCGCAGACCAGCTCCTGATTACCAACCGGGCCAGAAGGTTTGGCTTTCCTCCCGTGACCTCCCTCTACAAACTGAGTCTCGGAAACTCACTCCCAGGTACATTGGACCTTATGAGATTGAACGTGTCATCAATCCTAGTGTGGTTAGGCTCAAGTTGCCTCTTGCCTTGAAGGTGCACCCAACTTTTCATGTGTCACTCCTCAAAAGAGTTTCCTGCAGTCCTCTTTGCCCTCCGACCGAACCCCCTCCACCCCCCCGGCTCATCGACAACCACCCGGCCTTCACTGTACGGCGGTTGCTGAAAGTTCGAAGGCGGGGCCGTGGCTACCAGTACCTAGTGGATTGGGAGGGGTATGGGCCAGAGGAACGACAATGGGTTTCTCGCTCGCTCATTTTGGACCCTGATCTCTTGAGAGACTTTTATGCCCGGTACCCGGATAAGCCTGGTAGGACGCCAGGAGGCGTCCTTTGAGGGAGGGGTACTGTTATGTTTATGCATGGGTTTTGTTGTGTGATTTCCTGTTTTGCTCCTTTTACGCCTCACTACTCTGTCTCTCCTTCTCTGCAGGGCTGGTGTGTGACAGGGGGCGTGGCTGGTATTCTCCTGGCTGCAGATGAGGCACACCTGTTCCCATTCAGATAATCACCTGCTCTTTAAGAGCCTGGCCCTCACCTCACTTCTCTGCCAGAGAATTAAATGCTGTTCAACGATCCAGAGTGCCTTTCTGCAGCCTTGAGTTTTGTTTTGTTTCTTTGCAGTTTTTGAGCTACTTTTCGAGTATAGCCTGGGACGTTTCCCTCTGCTTTGTTTTTGGACCTTTCTGCAGCCAGCCAGCTCCCTGTTTTCAGTACCTGCCTTGGCCTATTATTTATTAAACACCTTGAGCTTAACTTGTGTCTGTCTCTGCTTTGGGGTCCAAGAATCCATACGTCACACTGACCTTCCCACTGACTCATGATCATCATGATGTTACTAGATGGAACATCATGTCGACTCATCAAGGTCCAATAGGGACACTAAGAACAAAC